CCAGGCTGGCCTCGAACTCACAGAGATCCGCCTGGCTCTGCCTCCCGAGTGCTGGGATTAAAGGCGTGCGCCACCACCGCCCGGCAGAGAGTCTTGTTTTAAAGACAGTGAGACCAGGGCTCAGAGAAGTTGGTTTCTAGAACTCTTTCCTCCAAGAGGTGGTGAGGCCAAGATTTGAGCTCAGACAGCCTGCTGCTCAGCTGCTACACTGCAGGGCTCCTGGATAGATAAGAATCTGGCAGAAAACTACCCTCTGTTTGATATGAATTATATTGCCTTCAACATGGTTCCCTGTGTCCAAGGCATCCATTTGTCCAGGAACATACACTGTCCATGCTGTGAAGGCTGCAAGTTGTGGGCTAGTCACTGCCCTCTGGAGAGATGGCCAGGCATGGTCACTTGTAATTCCAGCACTCAGGAGGTGGAGGCAGGATGACCAGAAGCTCAAGGTGAACCTGTGTTACTAAGTGAATTTGAGACAAGCTTGGGAAGCATGAGACCCCGCCTCAAGAAGAAAAGCTCTAGGAGCGAGAAAATGGCCCAGTAGGTAAACTGCCCGCTGTGCAAGCACAGAGACCTGAGTTTGGATCCCCAGAACCCACATAAAAGGCCAGGTGCAGCTGTGGGTGTCTGTAACACCCAGCACAGGAAGCAGAGATAGGTGGGTAGCCAGCCTGGCTGAGTTCAGTGAGACACCCTGTTGCAAAAACCAATATGGATAGAGATTGAGGAAGACACCCAATGTCAACCTCTGGCCTCCACATACATACTACACACATGCACAAACACCTGCACACACATGTGCCCACACACATTCAAACACATTTGCACACATGCACCTATACCATAAACATACATACACACAAAAAGAAAGAAAGAAAAAAAAAAGCTCCCATCCAGCCTACCACATGTCAATCAATGTTCTCCCTCCACTCCTCAGTTTCCCTCTTCCTCCTGACACTGTCCCATACAATGCCTCCCTCTCCTCCGAGTCAGAGGAGCCTCTCAGGGCTCTCAGGTCCCCAGACTGAGGTCCCCTCACCCTGCACCCTCTCCTCCAAGTCAGAGGAGCCTCTCAGGGCTCTCGGGTCCCCAAACTGATGCCCCCTCCCCTGCACCCACCCAGCCCCATTCTGTCACCTTTGATCTTCTCGCCTTTACTCAGAGAGATCTCCCCCTCGCCTTGCGCCTGGTATGACTTCACGGCCATGAAGGAACGTCCGGGTACCGCTGAATAGAGCTTCCTACGTCTGCCTCTGCTGCCCAGGGAGCCCCCAGGGCCCCCTGAGCCCCCAGTTCCCCCAGCCGGCCCTTCTCGGGGTGTCCCGCTGGAGCTGCATACACAGAAGTTGTGAGAGGCAGGGGAGAGTGGAAGGACAGGGCACTTCTGGGGGGACAAGGGTCCTTGGATGGAAGGAAGGCAGAGAATCAGGGTGGGGACAGGGATTGAGTGCTTTTCCAAGCTCTGGTGCCCTTGGGAGACCAGCTGCACCCCTGTCTCCCGTCTTCAGGCTCCCAATTCCACCCCTCCCATGGTCTGCACAACGCAGCCTGATTCAGCTTCTCGGACCTGTGCTGGTACATCCCCCAGCTCATGAGCCTTCAGTGACTCCTAGCTTCCTCTTAGGGCAGGCCCAGGGCCACAGCCAACTGTTCCCAGTCTTCTCCACCTTCTTGGGACCTGAGGCACACCTTGTGAGCCTCCCTCTCTCCCTGGCATCCTTACCATAGAACGGTCCCTTCTGCTCCCTCAGCTCTCAGCTTCCCCTCCCTGAACTCCTGAACAGCCTTGGACATTGTTCGCACAGTCCCTGCCCACCTCAATTCTCTCTTCCTGCTCTCTTTGCTCTCTCTTTACCCTGACACCTGTCTGCGCTCATAGGTTGCAGGCTTTTTCTTTTAGTGTCCTATCTCACCTCAAGCCAGGAGTGAGACCAAGCATCCCTAACACCCTCATTTTACCCACAAGACTATTAGAGATGCAGGTGGGTAGAGGACCCACCACTCTTGGGACAGGAGGTGGGTAGCTGGGCTGGCTGTGTGGGTGCTAAAATGGTTGGGGCCGGGGGCTGGGGGCCTGAGTCCTGCCTACCTGGGCCGGCCTCGAGGCTGTCTCTTGGCATCTTCAGGATGTCTCCCCCGGGATGGGGAGCGTGCCCGGGCACCTCGGGGGCTGCTGGCACTTCGGAGGGTCCCACTACTGAGCTTAGTGCTGGGGGCTGAGGGCTGTGACTGGCCCTGGGGTCCTGAGGTAGGGCCAGGGGTCCCAGATGATGAGGCCCCTGGGGCCGAAAACACCATCCAGTCAGGCAGAGCCATGCTTGTGTCGCTGTTAGCTCGCAGCAGCGCTGGAGGTACAGTCAGCCCTGCACCTGGGGCTCCCCGACGCCGGGCTGCATACTTGGGGGACTCCTGGAAGGGTACTGAGAGTGAACAGTGGTGATCGGGGCAGGCAGGCAGGATGGGGAAACAGAGGCAGGTGGGACCACGAGGACAAGAGGTGGTGGGAGAGAGAGAAAGGTAGAGTGAGAAAGTGGGGGTGGGAGTGGCCCTGAGTCACCCCCACCACACCTCAGACCTCTCTGGAACTCGGAGGAGTCTGTGTCCCACCCTGGCCCCTTTCAGTCGGGCCCCCAACTCTGTAATCCCCAACATGAGCCTCAGTTCCCCCTTCACCCCAACTCCTTTTCACTCACCCACATCCTGTTCTCGATGGTTACGGATCAGCTCCCCCAGCTCAAAATTCCCAGCAATCACAGCCACCTGTAGGAGGGGTGCAGGGAGGCAGATGCTCAGTAGAGAGCAAGGTCAGGAGACATCTTGAATTCCTCTAACCCAGCCTTTCACTCCATCAACCCACCTTCCGCTCCGCTGGCCTGACCCTCTCCCTCTCCCAGACCATGCTCCCCTTGCAGCATCCCCCACCGCCATTCCCCTGGTCCCCTTGGTCCTCTGTGTCCCCTCACTCAGTCCCTGCAACCACCTATGAACCCTGAACCCCAGACCTGGAAGGGTGTCTGTCCGTTATTATTTTTCACATCCTTGTTTGCTCCACGATAAAGGAGGATCCTGGCACAGGTCTCCTGAGAGTGGCAGCCAGTGGTCCAGGAGGAAAGGAAAATGAATGGTAAGTTAGCATGGGTAACACCGCTGTTATGCCAGGGGCTTCAGAAATACTCTCACCTAAACTAGCACTCCCCAGGACAGCAGTCTCTGGACAATGTGGCTGTTCGGAGGGAGAGATGGACCATGTGTATAAAATACACTGGGAAGCTAGGATGTGGCTCACATCCATCATCCTAGTTTATTTGGGAGGCTAAGACAGAAGGATTACAAGATCAAGACTAGCTTGGTCAACTTAGCAAAATGCTGTCTTGAGATAAAAAGTAAATTGTGAGCTTAGGATGTAAACCAGAGGTAGAGCCCCTGCCTAGAATCCCTCAGTGAGGGGTTGGGGTGTGGCTCAGTGGTAGAGCCCCTGCCTAGAGTCCCCCAGTGAGGGGTGGGTGTGGCTTAGTTGTAGGCTGCCTGCCTAACATGTGCAAAGTCCTGGGTTCAATCTCCAGCACTACAATGTATAAATAAATAAGGAGTTACATGGACTTAGGATACAACAAATATATCTCTAGTAATTTTATGTTGATTCATATTGAAGTAATAATACTTCTCTGGTTTCTACCACCAGATTCCAGTAGCTGTCTCCTGCTAAGGGGATTGGGCTCCAGATGTGGCTAAGACAGAAGCACCCCTGGGCTCTGTGAAGGGCTCCTTGTCTTGTGTTCCAAGGAACTGAGCTTTAGAAGGGAGCTCACTGAGTTGCCTGACAGAAATCACTGTGCTTATCTCAACAGATGAGAAAACTAAGCTCTCTGCATTGTTCAAGGTCACGTGGCTGGTGACTGATTGACCTCAGATTCCATTCCAGGTCTGTATTTGTGCATGCATGTCTCTGTGTGTGAACGATATGTGTATGATGTGTGTATGTGTTCCTGTGGGTGACGATGCCCATGTGGAGGTCAGAAGACAATGCTGCTTTCTGCTTTGTTTGAGACAAGGTCTCTTGTTTGCGGCTGCCTATGTTAGGCTAGCTGGTCCATGAGTTTGGGAGGCTTTCCCTGTCTACTTCCCATCTTCCTGTAAGAGCCGTGGGGTTACACATTCATGCTACCACACCCGTTTTTACGTGGGTTCTTGGAATTTGAACCTAGGTCCTCATGCTTGCCTGCAAGTGCTTTTAAGCTCCAAGCCATCACCCCTGGTCCCCTGAGTCTGTCTTAATTGCACTCTCTGCCAGACTCAGAAGGAATAGTACACACAGCATAAAGCGTAGAGGGAAGGTGGGAGACGGTGGGGACCACACCCCCCTCACACCACTCTCTGAGCTAAACTCTGAAATGACCCACGAGGCCTCACCCAAACAACCCACTTGGCTATCCTACCCCAGCCTCAACACCTCTCACATTCCAACCATGCTGGATACTTCCTCCCCAGAGCAGACATGCTTCTGCTCAAGGACCTTTGCACTCTAAAGAGCTGCTTGGAATTCTCCATCCATCGATTTCTACACAGCAACTCCGATTTCATTTTATAAAGCACCATTTTTCCAGAGAGCCCTTCCTCGTTGTCCTGTCTTTTGTTGACTGCCTGAGGCAGGGTCTCAGGATAGCCTGACACTAGCTGTGAAGCCCAGGCTGGCCTCAAATGCATGGCAATCTTCTTGGTCAGCCTCCTGAGTGCTGACAGGAACTTGTTCACATATCCCTCCCTCCTTATCCTCTCTGACTCTCTTGCCTGCATCAGTATTCTTCTAAGCCAATATTAACCCATTTCCTTCAAAACACTGTATGCCAGCATCCCATATTCTGTGTTACTGTCTTCTGTCTGTGACACCAACCTCGTACAGCAATGTCCAGCCCACACGGACTGCCCAGGAACATTTACTCAATGGGGGAATGTCATCTGGCCTTTGTCCACATTGGCCTGCAGTTCCATTCCACTCTGGCTCCCTTGAATGTGAATTCATAAGTGCCTCTTTAACACACCCTCTACATAGGAACCCCCTTAAGTGTGTACTTTACACTCAATACAAGCCTGTTCTACAGGATGGGATCAGAGCAGGCGACATTTGCGCCTAAACTCTTGCAGCCTGTTACTGGAGTAGGCGGGGTGTGAACTTGGCCTTCAGATCTTAGTGTTTGTCTGTCTGGGTCTGACTGCTAACATCACTTCTTGGATAGCAAAGCAAGTCCAGTTTACGTTCTGGTTGTGTTGTGTGTAAGCATGTATAGCCATATATTCCCATGACATCATATATGTATGTTTTGCAAGCTTTCATGCCTCTCCCACCTTGAGGGGCATGGGCTACAATGTAGTTCACAAGCTCCATAGTTTATCCCCTGTCTGACCAAGTTTAAATGTCCACATTTTAGTGAGTAGCTCCCTCCACCGGGCAACTGGAGAATCTTGTGTTTATTTACAAACTAGCACTTATCTCAAGGGATTGCAATTATTTGTTTAAACATCCATGAAACTGAGAGCTTCCTCTACCTTTCCTGAGGTTGTCACCATCTCTGACTCATCTCCTATCCCCAGATCCTGGCACCAAACACACAGTAGGTGCTCAAGAAATGCACTTGGAAGAGATGAAGATGGAGGATGTGGAGCTATCAATCAAAACTCATTTGCTCAAGTCACTTAATTATTCATTCATTTGTTGAGTCATTCAATCTGTCAAAAACAGCAGCCACCTGTCAAGAGTGCTGAGCCCAGAGCTGTGCACAGTTCTGGTGGGGATCCACAGCTCCATCATTCATTCAATCAGTCATGCATTCATTCATCTGCTCACTGCACACAGAGGCATCAAGGATCACTGTTGGGAGCTTGGGACAGAGCAGTCTATGAGATTCTGTCCCCATTTTGAGAGAGAATCACAGTCTAGGACCAGACCACCAGCAGGGGCTACATGTGCATGCCACAGGGCCAAGGTGACAGATAGCAAAATGTGACAGTCAGACCCGGCCCAGATAGGTGAATGGATGAACAGATGGATATATAAATAGATGGATGGATGGGTGCAGGGATGGATGCTTGGATGCAAAAGAATCACCATGTTTTGGGGGCTTGGAACAGAACCAGAATCTACCAGATTCTGTCCCCACCCTTGAGAGGCTCACAGCCTAGGGAACCTGACCTTTGCTAGCAGGATGGATGGGTCAATAAATGGATAGGTGGACAGACAGATGGACAGGTGGGTGAATGGATGAGTGGAAGGATGGGTAGGTGGGTGGATGGTTAGATGGTATATGAATAGACGGATGGATAGATGGATGGATGGATGGATGGATGGATGGATGGATGAATTGGTGGTAGTTGGGTGGATAGATGGATAAATGGGTGTGTAGATGAATGGATGGATGCATTGGTTGTATATGAATGGGTGAGTAGATGAATGAAGGGGATGGATGGTGAGTAGGTGGATGGACGGATGGGTGGGTTGTTGGGTGGATGAGCGGGTGTGTGGATAAATGTGTAGATGGGTGGGTGGTAGATGGGTGTGTGGCAGATGGGTGTACTGATGTGTACATGGGTGGCTGGCTAGGAGGAGCAGAAAGAAGACAGGGGTGAGAAGTAGAAGATGAACTCACATTTGCTAAGCATCTACTTGATCTGATAGCAAGCAGAGTGTTCACCTGCTTGATCCTTTGAAGGATAGTCATGACTGACCCATTTCACAGATGGCGGGAAGTGGGGGAGCTGAAGAAGGCAAAACAATATGCTCATCTGGCCCTCTTTGGGGGAATAGTGGCTGCTGTATAATTCTCTGTACTCAATTTTCCCTGCTCAGATGAATGCCAGCCTTCTGACCGCATCCTGGCAATTGACACTGGCGATGGTACTAATAATAACAATTATTATCACGGCTGTCTTCTAGGGATGAATACTTAATGTACACAATCACTCATCCCTTTCAGTCAGCTGACAGGATTCTCATTTTGGGGAGGACAAAGCCTCAGAAAGTAGAAGGCACTTGTTCAGGGTCTTCCTGGGTGCGTGGGGCTGGGGCTTTTGCTTTCTCCATCAGGTATCTGCCTCAGTCAGAGGTCTTGGCCCAGAGGCCTGCATAAGGAGCAGTAGAGGAAGCAGTAGCAAGCGAGAAGGAAATGCCAGAACCATGCTGCCAGGCTGAGGAACACCAGTCCTCCCTTGGCGTTGAGCATTCTGCTCACTGCCACAAGGCGGCACTTGGATACCCGCCATATCCCCAGCACTGAGAGTTCTCAGGAGGCAGAAGGGGCTGGGGCTGTTTTGGAAGACTTCCTGGAGGAAGGGAAGGCAGATCAGCAGCATCCCAGCAGGTGCTGCCCTCCCTCCCCTGAAGTCCTCCAAGCAGTTCTTCAAGGGCAAGGATCTGGGAGAACCTGAGGAGAGAGGAGGCTGGAGCCCCAAGGGGCCTGGCTCACCTGGGGTCTCCTGGTACTCAGGTGGCAAAGGGGGCTTAGCTCTTGCTGGCAGCAGTCCCATTTGATGGGATCCTTGCCTCCTTTTTACAGTCCACATCTCCTCAAAATTCCTGGGGAGGGGACCCTCCGCAAAGCATTGAGTTGCTGAATACACAGCATTCTCATCCCCAGACCGTACTTTGCTCATCCCTCAGTCCCACTTGCTCAGCCGCTTGTCTGTTCCCCAGCTTGTGCTCCCCTCCTGGAACACTCTTTCTCCCCGCATCTGCCCCTGCTGCCTTGACATCATTCAGAAAGCCACCTCCACCCAAGTCCAGACACAGCTCCCAAGGGAACATGATTCTCCATAACTTTACTGAGCACCTAGGATTAGATCAGCAGCTCAGTATAAAGCTTGGAGCTACACAGAGGGGAGAAGCTCATTAAACATGATGGGTAGATGGGCGGATGATGGCTGGAGGGATGAAGGGTATGTAGGTGGATGGATGGATAGATGGATGGATGGATGGATGGATGGATGGATGGATGGATGATGGGTAGGTGGATGGGTAAGTTAGTGGATAGGTAGGTGGGTGATGATTGGATAATGGATGGATGAGTGAGTGGGTAGGTGGATGGATGGATAAGTGATAGGTTTATAGATGGGTGGGTGGATGGGTGGATGAATGAGTGGGTGTGTGGATGGATGGATGAATGGATAAGTGGTAGATGAGTGAGTGGATGGATGAATGGGTAGGTAGATGGATAAGTGAGTGGATAAATAGGTGAATGGATAGATGGATGAATGGGTAGATGGATGGAGAGGTGGTGGAAATGGTGAAGGAACAGAGGTTGCAGAGGTAGGAGGCTTGAGTGAACTGGTGTGAAGCATGTGTCTTTGAAGGGGCCAATGGATGTTGCTTGGGCTGACCTTGTTGTAGAGAGCACAGATGTGCAGGGCTGTGTTTCCTGAGGCATTCTGGGCTCCAGGCTCAGCCCCATAGAAGAGCAGGTGTTCCAGGTGCTGAGAGTGGCCCCGTTGGCAGGCCTGGGGGTACAGGGAGTGCATAGGCCTGGTTAGACCTCTTCTGAGTCCTTCCAAGGCTGCATCCACACCCTTTCTACGTTTGCCCTTATTCCTGTTCAGGGACTCAGGACATTAGCTTCCTGACACTAAGCATTCAGTTACTACAATGTACAAACACTCAGGCTGGCCCTCCGAGTGAGTCAAGCAACCAGCCTCACCTATGCATCTATTGCCCGAGTCCTTTTGCCTTTTCCTCTGTGTGGACTACGTTAAGGTCACTCTCCTCTCTGTAAGAAACCCTGCCGTCTCTTTCTCATCCCAGCCCCTTGGATGCTGCAAAGCCCAGGTATCCAAGCTCTCCCCAGTGCTCGGGACTGCGTCTGGATACCTGGTGGATTTCCTGCCAGCCGTTCTCATCCGCAATGCCCAGCTGGGCCCTGTTGTACAGCAGCAGCTCGCAGCAGCGGGGGTCGCCCCCCACCATGGCTGTGTGGAACAGGGGGGTCAGCCCTCGGCGGTCCTTGTAGTTGGGGGAGCCCCCAAGGTCCAGAAGTGCCTACAGAGGGACAGACAACTCAGGAAGAAAGGACAGATGGCAGTTCTAGTTCCAAGGGGCTGGTAGGGAGATGAGCCTTGAATGACCCATACAGGCTCACACCTGTCTCATTTCTGCTCCAGTGCTTGTGTGTGTGTGTGTGCACAGAGAGGAGGCCAGGGGTTAATGCCAATTAACTTCCTCAGTTGCTCTCCATTTTGTTTTTTTGAGACAGAGTCTCTCACTGACCCGTAAGCTCACCAGTTCAGATAGAATAGCTGACCAGCAAGGCCCAGGAATCCTCCTGTCTCCGTTCCCCAGCACTGAAATGACTGGCATGTGCCGCCACTCTGCCTTTCTGCTTATGTGCTGGAGACCGAACCCAGGCCCTCATGCTTGTGCAAGTACTCTGCAGACACAGCGTCTCTCCAGCCCCTCCCACAGTCTTCCAGACTGAGCCAGACTCTCTCCCCAGTCTGCACGAGTCCTAGCCCTTAAGAAGACAAGGTGGACACCTCCACAGGACCCTCCCACTCTGACATGCAGCTCAACCCTTCTCTAGTGGGTGACTTTGGATGAGCCACTGGAGGGTGTCCATGACCATGGGCCCCTTAATACATGGCATGGTTGTAGGGAAGATGGACAGAAGGACGGGATCTAAGTTTAAGAACGCCCCTGATCAAGTGCAGAAGCACTACACAGACTCCCACAAAAGGTAACCTGGGAAAGGCAAGCCTGGGGTGAACTCAAATATTGAGCCAGTCTCCTTGACAGTGGGAGTTCTAGGGGAAACAGAGAAAGGGTGAAAAAGAGGGAGGAGTTTAAACCTGCGTAAGAACAAGTGCTGACAGCTGCCCCTGGGTAGACAGCCCCATAGCAGCCCTGTGTGGTCAGACACTACAGTGACCCGTCTCCAGTGATGTCACCCAATATGGTGGCCACGGGGGAGGGGGGCGATGAGTACCTGACTGGGCTGGTGAGTTCATGGAAGTGCCGTTTTAATTTTATTCCACTTTGATTCATTTAAATCTAATGGTTAGGTAGCAAAGACTTAGGAACACACACACACACACACACACACACACACACACACACACACGGAGTATCCCTTGGTTCTGGCAATAAACGCCAAGTGTTTGGCTACACCAAGGCTCTTGGGGAAAGAGTGTGATGAGAAGGGTACATCATTGAACTGGGGCATCTGTGAATATGGGTGTGCCTCAATCTTTGGAAGCAGCCTATCCTGACCTGTACCTAAAGAGGGATCAGGTGACCTGGTAGAGGCAGAAGAGAAAGAATATTTTAAAATAAGACTGCAAGCAAGGGCTGCGGGAGGGTGGGATGGCTCATGGCAAAGTGTCTGCCATGCAAACGTGGAGGCCTGAGCTTGATCTCAATAACCCATGTGTAAAAAGTATACGTTTGCAATCTCAATACTGGAGAGGCAGAGGCAGGTGGATTCCTGGGGCTCACTGGCCAGCCAGACTAGCCTAATTAGGGAGCTCCATTTGGAGAAATACGGTGGCTAGTTCCTGAGGACTGATAGCTAAAGTTGTTCTCTGGCTGCCACATTTGTACATGCTTGCTCATGGGTCACACATACACACACACACACACACACACACACACACACACACACACACACACACACACGAAAACTGCACACAAATTTGTTCTGTGCATTTTATGGGCACATAGGGCTTATTTGTTTGGGAAACCACATTTTGTTTCTTTGTTGAGAGAGTTCCACGATGCCAGGCTAGCCTCAAACTCATTATGTAGTCAAGATTGACCTTACACTCCTCATCCTCCTTCCTCTACCTCCCAAGTCCTGAGATACCAGGCTTGTGCCTCCACACCTGGTTTCGGGGAGGTGTATTTTGTGTCTTAGGTATGAGAAGGATCTGGATTGCCTGTGAAAATGAGTGTTTTGGGAGGTGAGGTGCTGAGCTAGCAAGGATGAACAGAGGAGCAAATCCAGGGTGTGCATGGAGATGGACTTCCCGAATAGCAGGGACTCATTTTCTGTGTTCTAAGGACTTTAAGGGCAGGTACTTTGGGGAGGCAGAGGTAGGGTGCATACCGGATGGGAAGAGGAAAGGGGGCCACTCTGAGTGCCCAAGGAGGAAGCTTATGTGGACCTGCCCGGCTGAGTCACAACCAGCTTCTAGACTAAGCTGGGGCACCTGGAAGACTGACAGCAGGAACTGTGCATTTGCCAGAGTGCAGAAACAGATTTTGTGGTGGAGAAACAGAGGTACTGTTTGGGTTGGAGGGCAGTGAGATAGGGTCTCATGGAACCTAGGCCAGCCTCGAACCCCTCAATTCTAGGACTGTAGGGGTGTACATCAGACCTGGCTGAAGAGGGATTCTTTTGAACAGAAATGAAGGAAATGGGGTTGGAGAAATAAAGGGAAAGGAATGGGTCCCACCACCTGGGGATTACAGCAGCCTCACCGTGAGTGCCAGGCAGTGCCGAGCACATGCAGCCTTGTGCAGCGCTGTCATGCCATCCCGGGCCCTGAAGTCTATGTGAGCCCCACCCAGGCACAGCGTTCGAATCACCTCTACTGAGCCTTCAGTCTGGGCCGCCAGGGTCAAAGGTGTCTCTGAAGGACAAGAGAAGACCTTCAGAGGCAGGACTTTTGGCCCTTGCCTCTTAGACTCCACCCTGGTCTCCTAGCTCAGCCCCCTACAACCTTTGGTCCCTCAGCCTCACCCTCTGGGGTTGAGGAGGTGCCCTGTCCTCTCTACCCAACCCTGCTCCTCACCCCAGTCCTTCCCGGCCCATGCCTCTTCCTACCTCCTGAATCTGAGTCATGGTAATTGGGGTCCAGCCCCTTGTCCAGCAGCCTTGCCACCTTGTCGGACGTCCCGAGCTGCACATATTCCAGGAACTTCTTCAACCCCGTCTGGATCATATACAAAGAAAGGCAGGGGAATCAGAGAGATCAGGGGGTCAAGAGAAGGGAGCAGCAATCAGAGACAGCACCACCCGGTGGGTACACAGCCAGCCCCCTCCCAAGGCGAAAAGGAAGCCTGGTGTGGTGGGTCACGCCAGTCACCTCAGCACTTGGGGGCAGGGACAGGAGGGTGATGAGTTCTAGGCCTGCCTGAGCTGCACAGTGAGACCCTGTCTTCAAAGGAATATTCGGAAACAGAAGGGGTGGGAGTTTGGATGAAGATGGCCTCTATAGGCTCATAAGGAGTGGTCTTATTGAAGCAGATGTGGTCTTATTGGAAGAAGTGTGTCACTGGGGGCAAGCTTTGAGGTCTCAGAACTCTCTCTTCCTTCTGCCTGCTAATTGGGATACAGAACTCTCTGCTACCTCTCCAGCACCAGGTCTGCCTGTGTGCTGACATGCTTCCACACATGACAGTAATGGACTGAAACCTCCGAAACTGTAAACTAGCCCCAGTTAAATGTTTCCCTTTATAAGAGTAGCCATAAGGGCCATGGTGTCTCTTCACAGTAATAAAAACCCCAGGACAAAGGGGAACTGTGAACCGTGTTGAAAAGCATCCTGACGACACATGTTCTTAAAGGAATATATCCCTAATGTTGCTGTTTCGATACACAGAGATCCACAAGAAAAACATCATGGTTTGGGGGTGATGAGATAGCTCAGCCATAAAGGGGTTTGCAGCCAAGCCTGCCAACCTGAATTTGATCCCCAGAACTTACGTGAAGGGAGAAAAATGAGCTCTAGAAATTACCCTCTGACCTCCACATGTGAGCCGTAACATGAACATGCCATCTCCACCCATCACCAGACACACACAATAATAAATAAATAAATAAATAAATAAATAAATAAATAAATAAATAAATAAATAAATAAATAAATGTAATTTTAAAAAAATATCATGGGGCCTAGAGAGAAGCCTTAGCTTTTCAGAGAGCTTGCTACTCTTACAGAGGACCTGAGTTCAGTTCCCAGCACCAACCAATGGCAGGTAACTCCAGATCCAGGGGGATCTGGTATTTCTAGCTTCCTTGGGCACCTGCATTTACATGCACATACCCACACACAGACACAGACACATACATAATTAAAAATAAAATAAATCTTAAAAAAAATAAAACGGGATTTTTGTACTGTTTCTGCAGTGTGACTCAATTCACACCTGTCACATGCACAAAGGAGCTGAACATGGTTACTGGTTCCCAAAGTGAATGGCACAGGTAGGGAGGGAGGGAGAAAAGAAGTGAGTGGATGGTGTGGGACAGAGAAGCTTTGGGGAAAAGGGGGGAGATTTCTTTCCATTAAACGTCAAGAATTGTTTCCCTCTGGCCACATCAGCCTCCTAACTTCCTCCTAGTTCCTGGGGGACTAGGGCAGACACAGGGCGGATATCACCCAAGGTCTGGAGGGAAAGGACCCAGCAGGATAAATGTGGCTGAAGAGGAAAGGCGGTCTGTGGTTGATGGAAATATAGGCTATAGGACTGGGGAATTGTGGGTGTCTGTGAAATACTCCCTAGGCAGGAAATTAACTGAGGCAGGGTAAGGAAAGGGCCCTAAGTGCTCTGAGCAGAGAAGGCAGAGTTAAAAGAGTGGGTTGGAGGCCTAGAAGTGAAATCTTGTCATGCAAAGACCCTAGTTTGATTCCCTAGAACCTCATGAGAGAGCCAGGGGTGGTGGTGCGCGCTTGTAATCCCAGTGCTGGGGAGGTGACCAGGCACGTCCCTGGGCCTTCCTGGTCAGCTAGTCTGGCCAACATGGTGAGCCTCAGACCAGTGACAGACAAATAAGGTGGGGCCAGTGAGACGGCTCATCAGGTAAAGGTGCTTGCCACCAAGCCTGACCCTATGAGCTCCATCCCCAAGATCCATATGGTGGAAAGAAAAAACTGATCCCCCCCAAATTGTCCTCTGGCCTCCACATCCACTCCCATCCACTCATACCACCACCGCCACCATCATCACCGCCGCCACCATCACCACCGCCGCCACCATCACCACCACCCCTGCAAATGCACACACAGATGGCATCAGTTTGGACAAGTGAGGTCATAGAGGGAAGTGTGAAGGGGTTAGATGGAGATAGATGGGTGTCTCCAAACAGGATTCAAAGTCAAATGGAGGACTTGGCATAACTGGCAGAGAGGAGAGCTGCTGGAGAAAGACTGGGAAAGAAGGTGATGGACAGGGTGCTCTGGGTGCAGGGGGCACACCCAGGGGAGGCCTCTGCCAGGGCACTCTTACCTTCGTGTGCAATTTGGCCAGCTGTTTCTCATCCAGGTTGGTCTGTTTGTAGACTCGGGTCTTGTAGCGGAACTGAGACCGGGGTGGGGTTTGAAGAGACACAGATTTGTAATCAGACTCTTTGTTGGAGAATGTCTGACACTTCTCCCTTCCTCCCATGAGTTCAGGGTTAGCAAGGAAATGGCCCTAGGCAGAGTCACCTTTCCAAGAGTAGCAGGTCATCAAGGTCTATTGCACTATAACTCCTACCTTGTAAGTGTAACACACACACACACACACACACACACACACACACACACACAGAATGTTCTAGAGTAACTACTGTAGTTGGGATTCCCTCACCAGCTGATGGCATAGGGAGCTTAGGAAAGGGAAAGAGCCAACTCAGCTGGAGATTTGGACTCAGGATCTCCTTCCTGTGAGTTCTCGGGAAGTCTTGAAGTGCCCACTGGGGTTCTCTTGGAGTCAGAGTGGATGTGTTCCAAGGTAAGACTTCTGTTAAGAGTTCTGTAGTCTCACCTCCAGGTAGGGTACCCCCTTTTCAAAGGACTGGGGGTACTCTCTTAGCAGCCTCTCTTCTTCCAGGAAGTTGGCATCCCGGCCTGAGGTGGCCGGCTGGAACAGTCCGTAGTTAAGCACATCCTGTAGGCTCTCACTCAGGGCACAGAGTACCTGCTGTTTGGCTGTCCAGATGGTGGCATCAGGGTTGAAGCGCAGGCATTTCTGGTGGGAGACAGGATGGCCAGGGCTAGGTTGGGTCGAGAGTCTGAGGGCCAAGGGTAGTTGGAAAAGAAGTAGAGTCCAGCTGGAGCTGGGATTGGGGGTGGGAAACAGACTTGGTCAGTGTGTCTGTCAGCTGACTGGTGAGTAGCCACTCACCGTCTGGTGCAAGTCAGGGATGCCAATCCTGAAAACCATCATGCTGAAGTGGGCGTCGTCGGGGACAGACATGGAGCGTCCCTGGAGGCCTCGGGTAGAGGCCAGGTTACCAGGTGTTCCGCTGCCCGGGCCCCGAGTCCCCTGGGGGCCTCTCCCTGGCCCGTCTGGGGAGCTGTCGGATTCTGAGCCCCCCTCGGGACACTCGCTGGCACTGTGGCGTTCCTCGTCCTCGCTTGTCGCGGGGCTGTGGGTCATCGTGGGGCCACGGGGCGACGGGGGACAGCAGCATCACAGGCAGCTGGGCAAGGCAAGGGTGTCCCTCAGTGTAGAGCCATTCAGAGGCTACCAGTACCACTCAGTGACAGACACGGTGGCAGCCTGTTCCCTCTGCCCTGGGAGGCAAGGGAGGCTAGGCATGCCCTCAGACCTCTGCACAGACCAACTCAGACCACCTCAGCAGCCTTCCTGGCACCCTTCTCCTCCCTGTCCTTGGCCCTGCGTGCAGCCCCCACCCCCACCCCCCTGCGCTCCACTTTGTGGCTGACCCAGTGTGTCCCAGAAATCACAGAATCACCGCGGGAGCTACTGGCCCACTTTGTCAAGCCACAGAAAATGAAGCTAAAATTAGCTAAGGACAGACAGGTGGACCAATCCACTTCGGCATCCTGCCCTCCTGGCCAGAGCCTGGCCTCTTCATCCCAGGGAGGCTGAGGATGGCTTTTATAGTAAGGGAGAGATGGAGGTGTGAGTTTTGAGCCTGGGGCAGCAGGAGGTGCCCGAGAGCTGGTGACTTCACTGGAGTGTGGCTGACCACATGTTTGGAGGGCTGCTGCTGGGGAGTGAGCTGTCCCTGGAGGGGATCGAGGGATACAAATGTGGGTGGATGTACAGAAAAGAGAAGTTCCCCTGAGCTGTGCCCAGGGGACCTATGAGAGGTTACTGGGGCATGTGAAGAGGATGTGTGGGTGGACAGGGAGGCTGGCCCTGGCTGGACGGTCCAGGTGACAAGCTGTGGTGGCCTGGGTGGGTGTGGGCAGCTGCAGGTGACCTGTGGGTGTGTTTCAGGACTGGCACAGCAGGGTGGGTGGGTTGGCACTGTTTGGTACTCGTGGCTCCACCGAAAAGAACTTGGATTGGGTGGGGTGGCTGGGGAGGAGGCTAAGAAGTGGGCTGCAGCAATCTGGGGGACCAGGAGGTGGGAGGGTCGTCCCTCTCAAAGTGGTCTACTGAGGGGTGGCTCCTTTCCAAATGCGGTCCTCTTCTCTGCTGTTCACTACCCCCCACTCCCCACTCTAGAACCGGAAAGCAGAATGTCTGGTCTGGTCCCTCCCACCCCACACCAGGCCCGGCTCCTGCACCGTTGCCATGGAGATGGGAAGCAGTGGAGGGTACTGCTGACTTTGGGGGAGTGGGGATGGGCTGGGGGGGAGGAGGGTTGGGGAAGGAAAGACGAAATGTTTAAGGAAGAGAGTTCCAAGAACTGTAGGCGAGCAGGCGTCTAACCGCGGGCTGAGGACCCCTCCCCCTCGCGGGGACCAAGCTCCGAAGCCCCGCCGCCCCTCGCCCAGGTACCTGGTCTTGTTGCCCAACCCGCCGGGCTTGGGAGGAGACTCCGGGTCTCCAGCTCAGTCCAGTGACCGCCCTACACCACATCCCGCCTGGCAGTGTGACCTCAGCCACTCCCCCTAGGCTGACCCTGGCTGACATCCCCTCTGTAGCCCCAGCTCTACAGGAACGGGGTGGCAGGTGGGATGAAAGGTCAGCATGGGCCGGACCCACAGCGCGGGCACCACTGCCCCAACACCCAGGACAGCTCGGGCCCCTCCCCCTCCGGCCTCGAGGGAGGGAGCGGGCACACTCCGCCGGGGCGGCATGAATCAAAAGCTCGGCGGCTAAGAATAGCTGGCACGCAGCTGGTACCGAGACGGGCTGAGGAATCGGCAAAGGGGGGGTTGGCGATGGGGAGAGAGGGGGTGCCCTGCGAGGCTGCGGGGGGACAGGGGACTGCTGGCGCGGCCAAGAGCCGGGCCCTGGGAGAATGAATGGAGGTGGAGGAAGGCGGGAGTTGGGGCTGAGGCAGGAAGACTGGTGAGGGGACAGCCCCAGGTCAGAGAGGGAGCTGGGACTGGGGGCGGGAGCAGAGGGGGCGCGCCGGCCCGCGGAGAAGGGACCGGAGGTGCGATGGGCAAACGAGGCGCGAGTGGGAAGGAACTGGAGATGCCTGGAAGGGGCGGCGGGTCTAGGCGGCGTAGGACGCTCTGGCCCAGACCCTGGGCTTGGAGGGGTTCGGGACCAGGGTGACCTAGGGGAGGGGCCCAGGTGCGCCAGAGTGGGCGAGACGGGGGAGTGGCCCGCAGGGTTGGGAGGCGGGGACCGGGACCCAGCGGTGGCCCTGAAGAGCCTAAGAGACCAGTATAGCTTAGGGGGCGCAGCACGTGGGGGATGGGTCACACCCTCCCAGCAAGGATGCGATCTGGGACGGGGCACCCGGGACTGGGTCGCAACCCAATTTGATGTCACCCGTAGGGGCCACGCTCCCTTCCACACCCGCACCCCCCTACACACACACCCTAAATGCACACCCAGGCTGGAGCCGGCGCCAGGCCAAGGACATCCGGGGCGCCCCCGCCCTCTCCCGCAACCCCAGCTCTCGCAGCTGCACCCTACCCCAGAACCCACCTGGGGTGCCCGGTGCCCTTACCTGCCTGGCGGGGCTGCTGAGTCCCGGTCGGCGGCGCCCGCGGCCCCTCCCCCCCCCCCCCACCCCCC